AAAAAAAAAAAAAAAAAAGGAAAATACATGAGGCCAAAATACACTATTCAGAGCAAAATCAAATATTTATTTGAAGCCTTTTAACTACCTCAGATCCCCATTCATAGCCTGTTTTATCTTCAGCTTACATTGTCTTGGTTGGCAGGGTAGTTGGGGTGGTAGTAGTGGTTGTTTTAGATCCAGGTTTTGTTTTTCATGTCTTCCTTTTGATACATTTGGTAACATCTTTGTTCTTCAAGTTTTGGCCACATTTCTTAACCTTAACAACTGCTACTAACTACTTTTGGGGTTCCCTCTGTATCTCCTTTGCCTACTCATTCTGCCTTGACTAAGTTAATGGGGTATTCAGAACATTATGTTTCACCTACTTCTACATGCCAGAGTTCATCACAGTTGAAAGCAAGCATTCCAAGGTGGGCTTGGGCCAGCTAAGGCTCACCTCCTGCATGCCTGAGGAGGTCTTTAGCCCCTCTTGCAAGGCACAGTACAGGAGCCTTCTACCTCCAGTGTCACCACCTTCCTTGGCACAGAGTGGCAGTGCCTATAAAAGGCGTGGTAGTTGGGAGTTGCTCTGAACATACTCTGCTTTAAGGGGCTGCCGGATAAAAAAGAAAAAGAAAAAAGGGTGGAAAAAAAGCACAGTGGTGTTTTTTAAATGTTCTTTTTTAAATTTACGCAATCTCTTCCTCAATTAAAACAAAATGGTAGATAAAGAGGAAATGTGACTTAAGCCAAGGGTATTTTTATACTATTATATTTGGAAACTTTAAAATGTGATCTGTGTTGGAATTGGTGATCTCATTATACTTGTTTATAAGTATTGTCCAGAGTGATGTTATTCTGGGTTAATATGAGACTTAAGGCCAGTTTGGTAAATGTGGAATTGCCTCTCTCTACCAAGAAGATTGATCATGTATGATTGCCTAAAACTCTCCTTGATCTTGTGGTCCAAATAATCCTGACAATTTTTTTTCTTTTAAAAAAATTTCCAATTAATATAAAGGTATATATGATTAGGTTACATTGTGTGAGTTTATAAGGTAAAGTCCAAGTTGTAATTGAGTCCTAACAATTTTTTTTATTAAGTTAGTTGATAGGTACCTTTCTTGATTGATTAAGCATTGATCATATCATTATTTAAAAGTGCTCTCTAAGGCTGGGTGATGGCTCATACTTGCAATTCTAACACTTTAGGAGGCCCGGGTGGGTAGATTGTCTTAGCTTAGGAGTTCCAGACCAGCCTGAGCAAGAGTGAGACCATGTCTCTAAAAAAATAAAATAACCAGGGCAGCACCTGTGGCTCAAGGAGTAGGGCACTGGCCCCATATACCAGAGGTGATGGGTTCAAACCTGGCCCTGGCCAAAAACTTAAAAAAAAAAAACAATAAAAAATAAAATAGCCAGATGTTGTGGTGGGCGCCTGTTGTCCCAGCTACTCAGGAGGATGGGGCAAGAGGATCCCTTGAGCCCAGGAGTTTGAATTTGCTGAGCTATGGACACCACAGCACTGTACTAAGGGCAACAAAGTGAGACTATGTCTCAATAAATAAATAAATAAGTGAAAAATAAGAGTACTCTTGGGCGGTGCCTGTAGCTCAGTGATTAGGGCGCTGGCCCCATATACCAAGGGTGGCGGGTTCGAACCTGGTCCCGACCAGCTAAAACAGCAGTGGCAACTACAACAAAAATAGCTGGGTGTTGTGGTGGGCGCCTATAGTCCCAGCTACTTGGGAGGCTAAGGAAGAGAATCACTTAAGCCCAACAGTTGGAGGTTGCTCTGATGTGAGCTGTGATGCTACAGCACTCTACCAAGGTCGACAAAGTGAGACTCTGTTTCAAAATAAATAAATAAAAGTACTCTCTAATTTTACCCAAAGGTGAGTTTATTTAAATAAAATACTCCACAAAATGTTATTTCCATGCACAGCAGAGAATCAAGGTGTTTATCTTGACAATATACTGTTTTAGTGGGACTTAGGAGCTCAAAAATAATCTGACATGTGTGCATAGGAAATGTTTTAAGTATTAAAGCATCGCTGATATCACTCAACACAGAACTTTAAAAACTGTATAAATATTCTAGTTTTCCATGAGTAGTAAAATACTCATCCCAATTGTGAAAAGAATTGGATGCCTTTTCAGTTAGCTATTTGCCATGCTGTTAAAATAGACTCTTAACTGGTCACGCATTCCATTCCCATGATATAAAGTTATCTTCCTTCATCATTAGGTGTTCCACCAGGTCCTGCCTATGGGAAGCTGAAAAATGGAATTTCTGTTGTTCTGGACAATGGGGTGACAGTTTTTCCTGAAGATGTCTTAAAAAAGCCTATCGTTGGAAGAAAAATCTGCATATTGGGTGACTGCTCTGGGGTTGTGGGTGATGGAGGAGTGAAGCTGTGCTTTGAAGCAGACCTATTGATCCATGAAGCGACCTTGGATGATGCCCAAATGGACAAAGCAAAGGAGCACGGCCACAGCACACCACAGATGGCAGCAACATTTGCAAAGTCGTGCCATGCGAAGAGGCTAGTTCTGACTCACTTCAGTCAGAGGTACAAACCAGTTGCCTTGGCCAGAGAAGGAGAAACAGATGGCATTGCAGAACTGAAAAAGCAAGCCGAGTCGGTGTTAGATCTCCAAGAAGTGACTCTAGCAGAAGATTTTATGGTGATTGGCATTCCAATTAAGAAGTAAGATCATGTTCCTGAATGCATCTTGACATGTCTATGGACTGGAACTATAGTCAAGTTTTTATTTTTTGTTTTTAGCCTGAAATTATTTGGGCCCTAATAATCCTTAAAAGGATGGAACTGCATTGCTGACATGACTCAGTAGTTAGAGGGAGCAAGATTTTTGATAATAAATCATTTTTAAAAGAACAGACCCCCAGCATTCTTCTTGAAGTCTAACTTTGACAAAATCATAGACTATTCAAGTATACTTGTCATTTTGTGCTACTGCCACAGACATAAGCAATCCTCAGCTTAGCTTCTGCCAGCTTTATTGCTGTTGTTCATCAAGTACACAGAGCTTGCCCATGTTGGCTAAACATGGTATTTTATCAGTGTGTGTTGAATCTGTTTGTGTTACTGACAGGATAAGGGGAAATGTAACAAGATGCTGGATATGCAGGATTGACAATAGCATGACCATAGCTTTGCTGGAATACTGAATGTAGGATTGGGCTAAATTGCTTGTCTTAGTATTTTTTTTTTTTTTTTGAGACAGAATCTCAAGCTGTTGCCCTTACTAGAGTGCTATGGCATCACAGCTCACAGCAACCTCAAACTCTTGGGCTTAAGCTATTCTCTTGCCTCAGCCTCCCTAAGTAGCTGAGACTACTGATGCCTTCCACGACGCCCAGCTATTTTTTCATTGTGGTTGTCATTGTTTAGCAGGCCCGGGCTGGGCTCAAATCCACCAGCCTCGGTGTATGTGGCTGGTGCTTTGTCTTAGTATTTTATTGAACTTTCTGGTTTGCTCTTAACCCACGATTCTCAGTTGGAGTGCTACTGCTCCCCTAGAAAGAGTTTTGAAATTATGGGGATGTTTTCTTGTTAGAGTGACTTGGGGGCAGGTGATGGTGGCACTACTACTGGGTTTAGTCAGCAGGGGTCAGTATGCTAGATGTCCTACAAAGTTTGAGTCAGTTCTATACAATAAAAAGTCATCTTAGCCCAAAATGCAAATTGCAGGTCCACTGAGATACACAGCAAATTAAAACTTATTCTCAAATGTGAATACACTTTACTGAAATTAGTGACATAACAATTTGAATTACTAGGTAAGTCAAACCCTATAACATGAATATGTGGTAATTAAAATGTCATATCAAATATCCATTTGAAAGAAGTGAGCCATGAAGTAAAGCTAGTGAATCTGGAAATAGAGATGGTATCTATTAAATGGAGGTTCAATTTGCACATCCCTATCAATAATTCTTGGAGCACAGTTTTAATAAGTGTCCATCCGAGCTGCCTTCCGCCTCCCTTCTGTCTGCCATGGTATATTTGACCCACTTGCCCCACAATATTTCCCAGACCTGTTCCAGGGAAAGCTAGTCTTGACTGCCTGTTCATTCAAAAAGGCTCCCTAATCAAATCACCTTGGGAAGCCCTTTCTGCTCTCCATCTCTCTGGCAGTGGTCTAGTGCCCATCAACATATTAGAAACAATATTAGCACTGCTTTGAATGCTCATTTCTTTGGTGCCAGAAAGACCTGATATCATAGTCCCAGTTTATACGTTATGGTGGTACCTCTTTCTGTGTGTTCTGGAGCAGGTTCCTTAATTTCTCTGAGTTTCTTCAGCTTGTCCATCTTTAAAATGGGAAAAATAATAAGATCTACTTCATAGGATTGTTGGAAAGGTTAAATGAGATAATGCATATTGAAAATGCGGCATACTGCTTAAAGGTCTGAGACCCCTGCAGGACAGAAGCCTGTCTGCTCTGTTGAACCCCTTACTCAGTCCTATTTCACCTGATACTAGCAGTTAACATCTCAAGAACCTAGAGAGTTGTAAAGGACAAACATTTTCATAGTGTGTATGTTAAACGACTCTGGGTTCTGGGATTTCTCTGGTCAAAATTTTGATTCCTAGTTGGTCATGGAGACTCTAAAGTAGTAGTGATCAAGATAGGTCTGGTTGCTTAAGATATTAATCATCCTGATGCAGTCTCTAGAGTAGTCTGATTCTGTCTAACTCTGGACTTTGCCCCAGAAGTGCCAAAATATGATCAGGCTTCAAGTGTGTCTTGGTTTCCAAAGTCAATTCAAATGAACTTCACACCTACTATGCCCAAACCTATGTAAGATGCTAGGACTCTAGTACAAGACTAGGATGGTTAGGACTAGCATCTCTACTGCATGGTGCCCTTGGGGGTAAAACTATGTTCTAGTCATGTCTTCATTCTTAGAAATACCTGCATTTAGTAAGCACTCAAATATTTTTTTTTTCAATGAAATGAAGCCTTGGCCGGGCACAGTGGTTTTAGCCTGTAATCCTAGCACTCTGGGAGGCCAAGGTGGGTAGATTACCTGAGCTCATGAGTTAAAGACTAGCCTGAGCAAAAAGAAAAAGTGAGACAAGAGGATCTAATAAAAATAGAAAAACTGAGGCAAGAGGATCGCTTGAGCCCAAGAGTTGGTGGTTGCTGTGAGCTATGACACCATGGCACTCTACCCGGGCAACAGGTTGAGATTCTGTCTCAGAAAAGAAAAAAAAAGGAAGCCTTGATAACATGAGTGCACAAACTTTAGGACATATTTCTATGTCCATGGTATATCCCTGACTCATAGTATTTCTAAAATGTGTTTCAATTCATTCAAAAAGGCTCCCTATGTTTAGTTCATTCCATTACTGAACTTGTTAAAAAAAAACAAACTACGAAATTAAACCATAGCAGGCACCTATAGTTGCTGCTACCTGAGAGGCTGAGGCAGTCAGATCACTGGAGCCCAGGAGTTTGAGGTCACACTGAGCTATGATGCCACCACTGCGCTTAGCCAGGAAAACAAAGTGAGAGTTTGTCAAACCCCCACCTGGTTGGTGGTTCCCCATTCATTGAGTATAAAATAAGTGCCGGGCTTTATTGTAAAAAATGAATAGACAAAATGACAAAATTCCAGCTCTAAGTCCGTAGTCTAGTGGTGGAGGCAGATAAGTAAACCGAAGTAAATCTGTAGCTACTTTAAACTTTCTCCTAATCATGTAAGCAGGCACTCTGTTTTGCTGTTCCTGAACATTACTCGGTAGCTGACTCGAGCCAGACCCTTAGAATCAGGTTCTATAAATATATTTAGGCTAACCTCTCAGAAACCATGGGAACGTGGAAATAAATTGGTATGTAGGATCAAGTGTAGGATACCAGCCTATGCAGAGAACTTTTTCTAGACCCTCTTTTACCCTAGAATTCGTTTGCAGTGACAGGAACATTCTAAGAATTTGTGGAGCTAGAATTAAAATGAAACTTATTGGACTTCTCAGAACCTGTAATGTATGCATGGTTTTGACTCACAGAGAAGAGAGGGGATTATAATATCTATCATGCCCCAAATTGGATCACTGAATCCTCTTTTTGCCAAGGAACATCTTGGAACATTGGAAATGCTGTTGTTCCTTGTATGTCTAAAAAATAATTCTATTTCTAATTTTTGCCTGCACACTTTATTGAGGTTATGATTTCCCTATCTACACTTAGTATCAGACTGTCTTTGTCCTAAACTGACTTTCAATTGTCAGGAATCCATAGATAACCTACTTATTTTAGATTAAAAAAACATGTACTTTCCAGTTCTTACAAGTTATTTACACTAGCCAAAATAGATGCTAAGTCAGCTCCATTTTCTAATATTTATGCCTCACGGATGTATTTTAAATGAACTTTGTTTTGGGTTTTTGTTATTGTCGTTGTTTTTGTTTTTTGAGACAGAGTCTCACTCTGTTGCCCAAGGCTAGAGTATAAATGAACTTTGAGTCATAAAGCAACACAGGCTTATTGGAAAATTTAAGATTTAAGGAAGGAAGACAATTGTTCATAATTTCACACCCAGAGAGAGCTGATCCAGTGGTCCTCAAACTAAAGTGTGAGTCAGGATTACCCAGGGTGTGGAGGGAGACAGAGGTCCTTAGGTTCTGCTTCCAAAGACTAATTCACTAGGTCTGGTGTGGTACCTAAGAATCTGCATTTTAATAAGCGCCCCCCCAGGTAATCCTGAAGCACATGGGTAGCAGACTACATTAGGAGAAAAAAAACTTTTCTCTATGCACTTACAGAATTGGAATGTATTTAGATATTTTCTTTATACTTGTACATGTTCATATATGTGTATATTACGTATCTTTTTGCATGTAGGCTGACCCCCTCAACTGTTTTTCTCATTGAACATACTATGAGCATTTCCCTACAGCATTAAATGTTCTCTGAAAGCATGAATTTAATGATTTTATATTATTCCATTCTAATTAGATGTATCTTTAGCCCTTCTCCTATTCAGGGGCGTTGAGATTGCTTTCCGTTATAAATAATACCGTCACGAATAGTCTTGTGCAGAAATCTTTGTATCTCAGAGTATTTCCTTCCTTGTAGTTGATTTCTCTGAGGGTGAAGACATCAGACTTATTTTTGTAGACTGGGTAGGAATCCCCATGTGTTTTTATGCTCGTTTACACTCCAAGCAGCATAGGTGTGGCCCATTCCGCTAGTCCAGCCACAGATACAGAGTATCCTCAGTTAGTGACCTTGCTAACTCTTCTTCCCAAGACATTAGTCCTATAAAGATTATTTTTGCCTCATAGTGCAAATAACTTTATTATGTCTTTCATACGGTGATTTCCTTGAATCTTATTAAGCCAGCTTAAAAATTTGGTAGCTTTTCCTTAAAGGGGTACAAATCCTTACTGCTTTAAATGCCCAGTGACATGTACAGTTTCTGTCCTTATTGATTGATGGATTTTCAGGTAATGAATGAGTCAGTATTTGTCATGTATGGGAAGACTAAAAAGGAACTGCTGGTAATGTTCCCTCTGGGCGGGATAAGAATAGAGTTAAGTGGGGGGTGGGGAATGTGGGTAAGAGCAAGAAATTCTTTTCTTCTGTAGTGGGAAGTAAACAGTGTCTAAAATTGAAAAATAATAGCTCTTTAAGATATTATGTTTTTAAAAAGCAGGGGGAGGAGAAGAGGGACCACTGGATGAACAGGTAAGAAGAGTAGAGAGAAGGGACCTTGGTGGATGGTGGTAAGCTGTGAGAAGGGATGGTCAGGGGATTGCTATTTTTTAGAAACCTAATAGTACAGGTACTGTTTGATATTCTTAACTATTTCTTTGTGTGTATTCCTGTGGCTTAAAAATTGTATTAAAATACACCCACACAGATGTGTCTGCACA